GCGGGTGCCAGCGCAATAATGTAACGCTGTTCGGACCTGGAGCAGGAGAAGTAAGGAGGTTGGTTTTTAGTTAGTAACAAGTCTGATACTTTGTCTCTTTTCTCGCCTCATCGAGGACGAGATGGATGATTTTCTTCGTCCAAAAGGATTTTTTTAACATATAGTAGAAACAAAGTGTCTTATACCTACTCTCTCTTTAGGTACCCGTGGAATGAGTCAGCGCGATCAATTCGATCATTCTTAATCTTCGTGGTGCAGTGTAGTTCGTACTTGTGTATCTTATAAGATAATATGCCCCTTGAATGAATCTTAGACAGGTTTAGATACCCAAATAAAAATTTTTGTATTTGGTCTACGACACAGGTTTTTAAATAGAACCCTGCGTACAAACAAGCGATTAATTAAGTAGCTTTCAACTACTTTTTGACAAAATTGTAATAAATATTTCAAAACTAGTTCAATCATAATAACATTGCAAGTTATTGAGACATTTCCTGTTCGAATTACGCACCTAATAGCTAATAGTGATTTAACAAAATATCACGATTAATTACGAAATCATAATAGCAGACTCGCAATGGAGACACGCCTTACGCGAAACTGGTCGCAATAACTTTGTTGCGTGGTGCATTTATTTATTGTTTTGTTTTTTCGTTCATCCATTCAGTCCGTTGTTCATTCATAGACTTGATTGCAAGTACATATTTCATATTTGCTGTTATTTCACCCGCGTTGTGGGATAACTTTCGCCAATTCTTTTTCGTTCTTGATAATTTATCGTTTTTGCACAGTATGCGATATTTGTATATGAATATCGAGGTAAGATTCTATAATCGCGAAGTCTTTTAGCATGAAAAATCTAGACGAAAAGGACACAAGTAACTAAGATCATAAATTCAAAACGCATCACAATTAATTACGCAACCATAATTCTGTTACAGTCAAATCGCAGTGCACGCCAGAAGGCCGAACGCAGTGACTTTGTATCGTCGTCTATTCGTTAATTTATTTAATTTGCAGCTCTGTATATGCGGTGTTCTAATTGCTCGGGTGCCGTTCGCCCACTTATCATAATGTCTCGCAAATCACGACGCTGCGGGAATAAATCTCGCGTCGATAGGACTTGGCCACTGGTCTCCTAGGGTTGAACTCGACTACACTGAAATAATTACACTGTAATTTAGTGTGCATTTCCATATTATCTCTTAGAAGATATTGCGTGAATATGGGACATTAGTTTAATGGTATTTGCAACACGATTTATAAAAATGAATATCGGTAATGGTAATAGTAATTACTACAGTTTCATGCTGTTTGTAAAGTTTGTATGATTATTCTTTTTCTATTTACGTGCTTTAAGCATTGTTAAGATTTAATTAATGCATGTTTTGGGTTTTTGTTATTCAAAATCTGTTTAGGAGCTCCGTAAAGTAAACTTTGACTATCTGCCTTAGGGAATTAGTAATGGTTGCGGGTTAAGCGCAATGACCTCGGTCTAAAGCAGGAGACCTCTCCGTCCCTTCGAACGGGGAGGTTTTTAGTCAGCAAGCGTCTGACACTCGTTCTTTTCTTACCTTGGGCGAGAGAAGTCATTTGATGAATTTCCCCTGCCAAAAAAGGAAAAACAATAATGCTCCTAGATGCGATAAATGCGCAGCGGATTATACATTGTTTTAGCAAATGAGACTTCCAATTTATTATGGACTAACATAAAATTTAATTAGGTATTGCTAAGTACTGAATAGGTGCTAGCTTAACAGCTTTAAATTTTAGCAGAATACAGGAACAATTACAAAGAACATCCCATACTAGATCATGCTAGCCCTAGAAAATCCAGTTACGCACAAAAATGGAGCTGGGCGCACGCGAATTTCTAACATAAATCGCGATCGACTCCCCATCGGCGCGCACGCAGCGTTCGGCGGCAACCGCAGTACTTTATTATGTATCAACACGAAATTATTATACAATCAACGCTATTAGTGATAACATTCAATTTGCATCTCATCTTAGAAACTAATCTTTATTGATTTTTATTAAAATTATTAATTTAAATTTTTAGTAACTATCTAAGTTTGGATTTTTGATTAGCGCGTATTATGCAACGCGATTTAATTATTTATATTTATTGGTCTGATTAGGTTCTTTTAGAGGTTAGTTTTGATTACCATCGCGGATGTATGATGGTATGCAGTAATATGCAGAATGTGTAAGCAATAAGGTTGTTTATCAAAAGGACGTTTGAAGAAGGCATATGTGTACCTAATCTTTGTACTTTTCGTTGTAGAATGGCAACTGCGCTACTTCATTCTTGTGAATGGGATTTACACGGATGGAGTAAACATGGAGCAAAGAAGTTAATTTTGGATTCTCTTCCCAGAAACCGATGTTCACCTAACAAGCGACCAGCGCCTTACATAGTTTATCGATCTACTCCGGCTACATGCTATAAATGATCAAATATACACTGAATATCCTTCCTCTGTATTTACGTAGTACATAGCCTACACAAAACACCCACCTTGTACGTTGAGACTAGAAATCTATGCCTACAGAGGGGCTAGGCCGAAAATTATTGGGGGGTGGGAGGCATGGCGCGCAGAGGGGTGGGGGCCAGCCGTCGCCGGGCTGATATGTGACCGGAGAGTCTTGTTCAACAAACGATGACGATGATTTAAGCTCAGGCGTTTTAAGTGTATTACTGGGAGAAATCCGGCTTTTGGGCTTAGGCTTAGATTTGAGTGAGCCTGCTATTATGGGGGGAGGCTTCTCGATTTATGTGTGCCTGTCCATTTGACGGCGGGGCCGCCGGAGTCGGGAGTTGCGATGTCATTTAGTTAGTGCCCGCTTGTACGAAAAAGGTTTTATTTAGACGCTGTCAATATCATATTTCGAACGCATGCCAATAAAAATAAAAATAAAAATTTCGCGCCATAATTCATGTCAAGAACTGTATTAAACCTCATAATGCTTATATTATTGAAATAAATTATAACAAAAAATAAGTAGCATAATAAACAATAAATTAACCCCTTATTACTGTTCTGTGGTGCAGAAAATTAATTAAAAAGTTCTTTAAATAACTCAATGAGCATGGTATTACATTTATTATATTCTACGCAATTGCGAGTTACTGTGCAAGATTAATATGTTTTCAGTGCATTCAGATGATTAATTAGATTCATTATCGGTATAAAAATATGCAGGGGTTACTTGTAAACTATTTATTAATGCTAGAAGTACCTGCACCTACGTAAAATACATTTATTTATGATTAACTGCAAAATTAAAGTAACTCATAAATGCAAAAGAATTTATTTCTTTGTAATATTTCACACTTGAACCTGGTGTGAAGATATTAATTTATTCGGTACTTTAGAGTTTACATATCGTAAATATACTCTTTCGTACCTAACTAATGTATTAAACAAAAAATGCTTGATGAATTGTTGCAAAAGAGAGTCTGATATGAGATCTGATCTGAGCTCTATGGCGATCTGATAAGTAAAAATGGTCAAATGGTCAACCGTCTACAAAACAAATCAAGAATCACCAAAAATATGGTTACAGAAGGAAAAAAATATTAGACCTAAATAACCATACCTCTACTTTTTCCTATCCTTTTCCTTGATCAACTCTGAAACTTAGACCAATCCAGATGAATAAATATTTTCAAACTCAAAAAACTAAAGAAACCACAATTCTTCCTAAAGCAAGGAATTTCATTAAACAACGCACTCAAGATGACCTTTTAACCCTACGTTACACACACCGCTAACTACCTATAGCACTGATCGCAGCTAATGTGTTTGCGGGGATACCTCCCGGTCATCAGCTTTCCTGGTAAGGAAAATCGAGTACCCAACCGACGTATTTCCAGAATGTTCTCGAATGATCTAGTTTTCGATACCTATTATGCTTGAAATTATTGCTTTATGGTTGCTTGTTTTTGTTGGTAGTTCCAAATTTGAAAGTTGAAAAAAAATTACGGGTTTCGTTGAAGGTTGTATGTTTGTGACTTTTTAATTTTTTTGAGTATTTTCTTGTGTGTTTTGTTTATCTGTATTTAGTATATGTACATTGTTTTTATCTAGTTTCTTATGATCCCTAAGTAAGTAAGTTATTAGACACAATCTGTTGTTTTACCTTTCTCACTGTTTTTTTGTTTTCTTTTTCGTTCACAATTTTCATGAAGAAATGAATTCTCATTCGCAAAATCTGTGATACCTCAGGAGGAATTTTGTAAAGTTTCCTTTTACAAGCAAGTCAATATAATTTTAAGTAGGTCCATAATTATACTTACCGCTTCTTATTATCTTAAAAATCAAATTTTGTAAATAAACAAAATCAAGTTCCAAAAGACAGTACGGTCAGCTCAATCCTTTCACCGAATAATCTCGAACTGGAAATTCGATATTGAATTTTTCTCGAGTTAATCTTGTATTCAAATTTTAATTATATCATTCTGGCGTTTGAATAAAAACGAATTCATTTCGTTCCGTCGCTGAATAATAATGTACGGTCGAGCCGACGCTTGAATTACTGAAGCCGTGTGTCACACCGAATTGTAATGATTAGGTTTTAATATTAGAAATTTAAATTAATATACAAATACTATATTCATATTTCGAAAGGCATCTTTAGGTACTTGTCACCAAATTTAAAATTAGCGCCTTGCATTTAAGTTGGTTTCTAAATCTACAAAGAGCTAATTAATTATTACTACTTTTAATGAGTACCAAATATATTTCAAAACAGTTTTTTTTCCAATTCAATAACATAACCCTTCAACAAAAAAATTGACAGATCCCTAATGGTATCCATTTAGAATTATAATGTTGCGTTATCTGTAGTAGATATTATGTTTAGTTATATTTTAGATACATTATTTAAACAGCATCAAGCAAGAATTTCCATGGAGAAAATACCACTTCACGCCTTTGCGCGCCTCCAAGATAGACCGATAACAGAAATACTGATCAACCTTTTATTTTACTTAGTATAGAGATAGAGAGAAACAGAAAGCGAGAGAGAGAGAGAGAGTCACGTGCAATGCGACAAAACCTGGTAGAAGCAGCTCATCTGACCTCCGCCACTGGGCTCCACTCCCACAAAGGGTGATATCCGGCCTAGGTTGCGGGTGTAAGCGCTATGATAAACAGGTCAGAGCAGAAGAAAGGAGAGGACGGGCTAGTCTAGTATACTTTTAAAACTCCTCAACGCCACATTAAAAGAGGGAAAAAGAAGTCTTTGCTTAATTTTTCACCCCTAAAAAAGACATCATCTGCTCCATCCAATCTGATCAAAATCTAACTAAGATTTGGCAAAAAGCAATACTTATACTATAGGTTCTTCCAGCGGCTTCGACCGAGTGGTATGTCGATAAAAAGCAGCATATGCGTTTATAGGGCTATCATCTACATACCTACTTACCAAAATTTATATACAATCAGTCCAGCCAGCAAATAAACAAACATACATCCGAACATTCTCACAAACTTATACATTTACAATATTAGTAGCATGGACATAAAATACTATTGACTAACTATTACTGATGTTATGGGTCAATTTCTAAAACAGGAAATTACACCACTGTGTAACACACACAAAGTTATGGAGATCAACAATTAATTCCTATGTCTGTATCCGGAAAAGCACTTTTCATGACCTCATATGCATATTGAAATGACGTTGTGAAATGATTATGTTTAGAACACATTTGGGACTCAGTACAAAGCCTAACCTGTCAACTAAGACATGAATATAGCTGCCACTGAACTAATTATAGCGTAGCTAATTTCATTTCAGTTTAGATAAATGTTTCGCTGTTGATGTGAAACGTTTGAATTGAGTTGAATTGTGATTGATTGTGTAAAATCAAAATTTATAAACAGTCCCAAATATATGTTTTTTTTTTGTAGTTTTACCATGGCACGCCGTGGTCGCCCAGAGCTTAACGGTCCTGCTTCCCGTGGCGAACTAGGCAAGTACGAATGTGATTTTTTCCGAGATATATGTAGGTACTTTCTAAGACACTACTGAAATAGGTAAAGAAAACGTCGAGAAAAACCCGGAGGTAGGTATAATTTTTAGTTATAAGTTTGAAATCATCAATCCACCTTTGGCAAGCGTGGTAATTAATGCTCAAATCTTCTCTGTGTGAGAACATTGCTCAGTAGTAGGCTCTTATAGGCTGATGATGATGATGTTAAGCATAAGCTGTAATTAGCGGTTAGAGGTAAACAACTTGTACTAGTATACTGCTCAGCACCAAGTTCTGGATTTGTCTACCTGCGTTTGGCAGACTGTTTAGCATTTAGAAAGAAAGAAGAAAGAAAGAAAAGACATTTATTCAGCACCAGGCACGATGCAGCATATAAAAAGACAATAAAAGTGTGACAGTAGAAGTAAGACAACATGAGTTAAAGATTAAAACAGATGAAACAGAAAATAGACGCTACAACTTGCCCATGCTAAATGGGTTACCCACTCAGTGTAAGCTAGGCATACAAGTAGCCCAGCACTGATTTTCAGTGGGCACCCCTGCTTTAGAATTAGAATTCAGAATTGAATAGTTTCGTCAGATACAAAGAAACAACTTTCATACAATCTGTTTTATTTTCACACTTTACTTAAACATCGCTGCAAAGTACTGTTCTAGATTGTTATAGAATGATGTAAAACTTTATTGTAAGCATGAATGAGTGTTATTGTGGATCTAATCTCTTATTCCAATACCATTCAGTGGTTGTAAGTAACTATATAGCCTGCCTCTCATCTTTCCGAGAAAGACGTAATCTCATGATGATGAAGTTAATGATGCTGTTGAATATACATCTAGGTGTCTTACAAACACAATGTCTTATACTATGTATACTGTCACAATGTTAATGCCACACTTTTCAAAGGTCTAAGCGTAAACTATGAGCATATCGTCATCCCATCTCATAATAGCAGTCTTCCAAAGGAAATCACCATAACAAATTCAAAAATTAATTCAAAAAAATAACTGTAAATACAAAGTACAAGCACGGTAGGTAGGCAACTCACACAATCTGTACAAAGGGCACCGAGCACTCCCATTTATATAATACTCGTCAATAATAATTTCATTAAAATGTAGATCTAGTTAAAAGCATTTTTTCTGATTAATTTTCAGTCGCGGGCCCCGCTCTTCTTTTTTTAATTGAATATCAGGCCACTTTGATGGCGCGACGAGAAAGGGTTGAAAAAAAGTTCGCCCTCATTTGAATAAAATAACAGCACTCACACTTTGCATTTACGGAGATATTTCAAATTATATCTGGACTCTTTTTTGTTTTAATTTTTTTTTTGTTCCTCGTATTTATTTTATTTTTCCATCACCGCTCCCGTCTAATTGAGTTAGGCCTCCAAATCGAAAATGTCGATCGAATTGTAATTCAATTTATTTTTGTTTCTAATGGAGTTCGGAGCTTTTTATTCTCTTTTTTTAACTGTAATTTTGAATCATTTGCCTATTGAAGGGTTGGCTCTGTTTACTGATGCGAGGACTTTGCCACCGAATGGTATTTTTTACCCTCGTCCTGTTTGTGTGTTTTGATTTTAATTTTTTTGGCATTACTTGGACCAATTTTGTGCATTTGCGGAAGAGAATTTTTGTTCGGAGTATCACTTAAAACTGAACCATGAATAAATTGGTTGAACACACAATCAAACTATAAAAAAAAATGTGTCTCACGATATTAACTATTCAAAAAAGAAAATAAGATCAGTAAAGATGACCACTAAGTGTTAAATAGTACACTTTTTTCCACAGATAACAGATTAGATTGCTCAGACATCTTATTGCGGGCCACAGATTATATCAACCGGTAAAAAAACTTAACTGGATAAACCTTGTTGAGTCGGTTTAGTAGCGCTACCACAGTTATTTACTCTATTTGTAAGCTTTTCTTTATAAAGTGCGATTGTATTGTGGTTTTAATACTTGTTTATGTTTTTGTTTGTGATATCTTAGTTCTAGATTATTTTACAGACTTATTTTAGTATTAAACTAGTTCCTGCCAGCGGCTTTTGCCTGCAATAACTGGATTAGAAGTCAGTGTGTTTTTCTAGAATATAATCTATATCTGTGCTCAATTTGGTTTAGATCCGTTGAGTAGTTTTAACGTAAAAGACTTACAAACATCCATCCATACTTACAACTTACACTCATAATTACTTTTTAAGACTATCGATCATAAAGTTTTGATAAATATCTTTGATTTGTCTCAAAAATGTTATTGTATTTTTCTTGACCAATTCTAGTAAGAGTATTATTTACAATACCAACATTTGTATTACATTCCTTGTCTCTAGTAAATTAAAATTCATATTGCCGCAAAAACATGGGAGATTTAAGTCCTTTTATCATAGTTAGTTCTTGAAAAGAAAAGAGGATAATAATCAAGCTAATTTAAGCCTTAATCTTAAACATTCAGTAGAGTTATAGTAAAAAATCACTTGACATGAGGTTAAAAAATCAGGTCAAATCCGACCTTTGTCACATGCCACGGAACATAATGAAGATTATACACGTATAAGCATTATTATATTAGCTGTATACACGCTGCAACAATGTCGCACGGACGGCGCCTACTCAAAAGACACTTGTCGCTTCTACGCCGACTCTGTGTATTTGATACTTGAATTTAAAATTATATTTTCCTTTACTGCTTATAAGCTATTTTCATTTGCAATACTTGATAGATTTCAGTAGTGTAGTATATTCAAGTTTATGTGATACATATTGTCTGTAACTTGTTATTGCGAACTGGTCTTATAATATCACAATTTAAGTGTTTAACTTCATGGTGTTTTTTGCAATGGTGTGATGGATGCAGGACCCGGGTACGTCCTTAAATTGCGACCAGACACCAAGGAGTGGGCGGCAGTATTCCATCCATATATCGGTGACTAAACTGCGATCCCCAAGCCGCAGCGTGGAGATTATGGCATCCCCCCTCCTAAGGGGGAGGCCTTTGTTGAGCAGTGGACGTCTTTCGGCTGATGAAGATGATGTGATTCATGAGTAAAATTATGCGTTTGTAAACCTAAGACATAAAAAAGAACAATAAAAAAGAGCAGGAGAAAAATGGGGGTGGAGTTTTTAGTCAGTAAGAGACTGACACTCCCTCTTGCCATATATTGGGCGAGAAAAGTGTGTGTTTTGGATATTTTCCTCATCAAAAAAAGATTAAGGTTTCATAAAAAGACAGATCCTGTCTTTCGTCAATTAAATAGATACAAGACATTCTGTCAAATTCCTTACTGATTTATCCTTGATATTTTGTTATCTATTTGGCTAACATCTTAGGTATTAGGTATCAACAGACAGTAAGCCACTGCTGAACTAAGAATGAGTTTTATTAATGTAGTTTTTCTTTCATTTTTTTGCTTAGTGGGTGGAATGGAGATCTCTTTTTCACATTTGAAATGAGCAAATTTATCAGAGTAGACTGATTTGACAATAACTATTTCACATGGGTGTATTTTTGAAAAACTTTACAATCACTTTCGTATAAAAAAAAGTCGTTTTGACAAACTGATCAAATGTAGCTTTTGCATCATTCCAAACTATAATTTATCTCTGTACACATTTCCATCAAAATCCATCCAGTAATTTTTACCTGAACGAGTGACAGACATATCCTTACAGACTGTCGCTGTTATAATATTAGTAGAATTTTGAATATATTGTGGTATTATTGGGAATGTAACAAAATGAATTTTTATTAATTTAATCTTAAACACTTTAAACACACGCATAGCTAGTAAATATTTTTGGAAATATAAAATTAAATTGTTTTAGTGTAACGTAAACATTTTTTATTGCTATTTCCAATTAATAACGCGTTCCATTAAATAAAAATTCATACAAAATATTAAATTAAAAAACGATTTTGATGTCGGAATTGCTAGAAAACGGTGATTTACAAATAGTGCAACTATTTATTTCACGATTTTGTTGTAATTCAGAATTGTTTTAATTGAGATTTACTGCTTGAATGATCAACGCGATTTCAGTTACCTGCTATTCAATAAAAATCGAACTGGTAGACAGAACGGCGCCAGGTGGCGTAATATAAAATTTTGAATGTTATCTTCTGATAGTCACTTTTTGAGTCCCAGTGATTTG